ACTTGAATGAGTCATGAAATGTTTCAACTGAATAAGAAATAAGTCCAGTTTCCATAACTCAACTTCCACCTTACCTGGATGACACAATTTTCACAGATAGTGTCCCAGGACTGAGGAGGGTTTTTTTCTTTGGCTGGGCTTTCTTTTGGTCTCCCCCACTGCATGGCCTAGGGGGTGGGACTTTCTGCTTTAAATGAGGGTGTCCCAGGGCCCTGGGCCCTTTTCCTTGGGAAGCTGGGCTGAGGCTGAAGGCCAGGTATGTTTGCATGGACATTTTGCTGAGCAGTTTTTTTTGCTGGGCTTTTGGTCTCCCCCACCGAATGGCCTCAAATTTTCTGATTCTATCTCTGACCCTAATATGGTAAATAGGAAAGCCAATTAGAGTCGCATGGGAGGCAGGAAAGTTCAAAGGGTCGTATCATACATCCGCACTATTAAAGAGCAGGCCAGGTAGGTGGGGCTCGTCAGCCATGTAAGGCAGCCCATCTAGGAGAAGGAAAACTCTGATTTCAAACCTCTACTGCCTTGCGGCTATATCCACTCATGGAAAAGGCTTCCGGAGTTAACCTAGAGGCAAAATCTGGAGCTGGAGTCCTGAAGGCAGTTCGTGTCATTCTGACACCTCTTGCAGCATTGCTGGAACCAGTTGTATTGGCTCTTGCCCTTGCATTGGACCATTTCAGCAACGTGAGAGGGGGGATCTGCTAGGTTAACAGCCTGTCCTTCATATTACTTTACCCAGACTTCATGCTCTGGAGAGGACACTCATCGATACAGAGCATGTTACCATAGTCTCTCGAGACCGAAGGATGCCTATGCCTTGGAGAAGACCAGGCGCTTGACACGGAGCTGGAAGCAAAAATTACTGTCCTGAGTCCAGACACCTGCAGAATCCCCTTCCGCTGCTCCTCCTCTCAACCCCCTTAGCCCTTCTTTCCTGTTTGCCTTATAAAAATGGACACATTTTGAAGTAACACTTTTGTGTGCTTCTTCTCCGCATGTTTCTGTGGGTGAAGTTGGTGTCTATTTGCTTGCTCGAGGTACGTAAGCAGCACACTTTACTTTTTGCTTTGCTTTCTTGGGGTTGTGTCACAGCTTCAAGACTCTGGGGGGGTCTCCACAATTTCCAGAGTAAGGGGAAAGGAATTGGGATAACAGGGAATATATAATGCCATTCCTTATCATATATTATCTGTACTTACAGATATCCTTGCATTAAGATCTGTTGTATCTGTTAATTGCCTATATACTTCCAACTAGAGTTATTTGACTATTTTGCATTAAAATTATCTAGATTCCAAATCTATTCTAGCTCACCAATCTATACGTATGTCTTGTTTTTCTAACTTTTCTTTTGTTTTTAATTCACCCTTTCCTTTTAGTAATTCTTGTATTGTAGGTGGATGGGAGACCACCAGGCATCTCCACCAGGCATCTCCTTCTCTTGAGGAGGTCAAAGAGGTAGTGGTTGTCCTGTGGTGTCCAGGTCCCCTTCACTCGACAGGCGTGGACCTCATCCCCGGGGGGGAGGCTGTGCTTTCGGCCAAAGGTCCTCTCATACGTTGCAGACGTTCGGTGAGACCAACTCCCATCCCCATGTCACCAGCCATTCTGAATCGGGAGGTGTGGGATGTGCTGGAAAACAGTGGGACATGAGGGTCCCGCAGCAGGTGCCGGCCATCCTCTGAGCACAGCTGGAGAAGGCGTGCTGAGGGGCACAGAAGGTGATGGCATTTCTGCCGGAGAGGCCTTTAAGTTCTCCGCAGCAGCCTGAGAGGCAGATTTGCAACGTGAAATCCTGCAGTGGGCATGAAATGCAAGATGTGCTGACGATACAGGCAAAAGGCTGTTAAATCACAGGAAGGGAAAGGGGGGATGTGTTGGCATGCAGACAACACAAAGCTTTTCTGGTGGGTGAAGACCAGAAGGAATTGTGAAGAGCTCCAGAAATATATCTCCAAACTGGGAGGATATGTGGCAAAATGGCAAAACTTTATCGACTAATGGGTTCTGAGCTGTCCATGATGGATCAGGAAAGAGATCTTGGTGTGCTGGTGGACAGCTTGATGAAAGGGTCAACTCAGTGTGCAGTGGCGGTGAAGAAAGCCCTCCCCCAAGATCTGAGGGGCCTTCTCTGTCCTCCCTTCTTGGGGTGGCTCTCCTCCCTTTGGCAAGGCAGGGGAGACTATCCTACAGACCAGCCTTTCCTGACACCTGCTCCCAAATGCCCCTAATTATTGGGGTTGGAGGAGCTAAGAGGCGATGCTTGGAAGATGGCAGGTCAACACCGATCAGGCCTAAAGAAACGGGAGGGGAGGAAACCAGGTCTCCTTGTCCCTCCTCCCTTGTTTTCTACGGCACCTCTTCAGGGTGTTC